AGGGTATAATCGTCCACGCCACAACGCCATACATGGAAAATAGGATAAAAAGGAATAAATCTCTCCACCTGTAGGACTTATCGGATCAAAAGTTTAAAGTTAGGACTAATTGGTATAATTGTTTGTGAGATGCGATTTATTGGTAAATAATCCTTTATTAAATTATTTAGGGTTATAATATATTCTTAGTATATTCTTTTCTTTCTTTCTTTCTTTCTTTTTTTTTTTTTTTTAAATTACTGTTTTGAGGTATACCTAAATAAAAAAACAAAGCTGCTACAGACCTCGAATGACATTGGCGCGAATGGAGCGAATGAAGTTGTCTGTCCATTCATTACGCACAACAATACCTGTGTGGATTTCACGCTCCTACAAAACAATATTACGACTTAGAAACAAACAATATTACGACCTAGCAGCTCTGCTTCTCGGGAGATAGAAAGACCACGACCTAGGTGGCGACGATGATGATGACCAAGGTGGCCACTGATGACGAAGAAGACCACTGGTGACTATTGACCACCGTCTACCACTCTCAAATTCCTTCGATTTCACTGAAAATTTCGGCTTCACCCACCAACAACGAATTGATTCTTGGGTCACTGGTATTGCTTCAAACATTGACATTTGCTTTACATTGGTTGAAATTTGGTTGGTCTATGATTTTGCTCATATTTTCTTTATATTGGTTGTAATCTTCTTGGTCCATAACATGATTTTGATGTTTTTGTATTGATGCATTGTATGTGTTTGTTGAAAGTCCACATAGAAAGAGATTGAACATTTATTGAACAAAATCTATTATCTATTTTGTAGAAAATGAAGATGTTTGAACTGTCTTTGTAGATAGCTCCCAGCTTACTTATTTTCTTCTTGTAGAAAATGAAGTTGTTATCCATTTTCTTCTTGTTTTTTGGCGAAATGTGATATGCCTATAACTTGAATTTTGTATGTGATAATGTTTGAATGTCATAAAGTATAGTGCTCCCAGCTCGTTTCTTTCTCGATAACTCCCAGCGTACTTTTTCTCGATATTGTCCTTTATCTTGATTGTCACATGTTTCACAAAATTCTCGATATTGTCCCATCAAAATTCTATTTCACATGTTTTTGATCAGTTCCTGTTTCAAATGTTTTGAATTGTTAACCTAGAAGCTTCATTTTAGCAACAAAATGATGGAAGGTTCAAACAATCCTAGTTAGGAAGTTGAAGAACTTGAGAGTGGTGAAGTTGAAGAAACAAGGCAGGGGATGTGTTTTACTTCGAAGTAAGAAGTGTATGCATTTTATGCAAAATATGCGAAGCACTTTGGATTTGCTATAGCTTATGGAACACAAACTTTTGGTAATGATGGGGAACTAAAATACTTTGGAATTGAATGTACTCGGGCGAGGAGGAGAAGAAAAAAATTGGAAGTGAACCTGTTAGAACCATCTTTGTTATCTAAAAATGATTGTAAAACAAAAGTACGAGGGAGTCTACAAAAGGATGGAACATTTAAGTTGACAACCGTTGTGCTGGAGCATACTCATGACTTGGTTCCTAGTGACTCACGGCATTTTGCAATGAATAAGAGAATTCTAACTCCTGTGAAAAGAAGATTAGAAATAAACGATGAGGCAGGGATAGGGGTGGTTAGGAATTTCATTCTATGGCTGTTGAAGCGGGGGGATTTGAGGCATTAACATTTGACAAACGAAATGCACAGAATCACATTGAGAAGGCTAGAAGATTGAGGCTTGGAGTAGAAGATGCTGAATCAGTTGCGTTTTATTTTCATAGGATACAACAACAAAATTCGAACTTCTACTCTGAAATGAACTTTGATAGAGAAGGAAGCTTGCGAAACTTATTTTGGGCAGCTACAAGGAGTAGGGTAGCTTATAAATCATTTAGGGATGTTGCCACATTTGACACAACCTATCTGACAAACAAATATGACATGCCGTTTGCTCTGTTTGTAGGAGTTAATCACCATGGGCAGTCAATTTTGTTTGGTTGTGGGTTGTTATGTAATGAGAACATTGAGACATTTGTATGGCTATTCAGAGCTTGGTTAAGTTATATGTCAGACACTCCTCCGAATGCTATAATAACTGACCAGTGCAAAGCTATGCAAAATGCCATATATATTGTCTTCTCACAGGCTCGACATCGTTGGTGTTTATGGCATATAATGAAGAAAATTCTGAAAAAATTGAGAGCCTATTTGCAATATGAATCCATAAAGTTTGCTTTGCAAAAGGCAGTTTATGAATCTTTCACAAAAAATGAATTTGATGAGGAATGGCAAGCAATGATTGCAAAGTTTAGTCTACATGATAACGATTGGTTGGGGGTATTATATAATGAGCGACATAGGTGGATAAGCCTATGTGAAAGACATTTTTTGGGCTGGTATGTCAACCACACAACGAAGTGAGAGCATGAATGCATTTTTTGATGGATATGTCAACTCGAAGACTATTTTAAAGCAATTTGTTGAGCAGTATGACAATGCCTTGAGAAGTAAGGTGGAGAAAGAGGCCAAAACAGATTTTAAATCTTGAAACAAATTATATAATTGCCTAACGATATATGCTTTTGAGAAGCAATTCCGCGCAGCCTACACAAACGCAAAATTTAAAGAGGTTCAAGTAGAAATGAAACGATTATTGTATTGTGTTAGGTTTTTTCTTGGCAATCCCGTTTGAACAAAACTCATTTCAGTTGTACTTAATTTCACACTTTTTATTTCAGTGAGGCTATGAGTGTTTAGATGCGAATCTAACCCGAATTGTGCCTTGCAGAGAAGTTTGTGATGTTAATGCTTTCAAGATTGCCACTTCGCTGATTATGACGAGGATCGAGCTGCCCGGTTAGCTCACGGGGGTTGAGGGGGCAGCGCCCCTTGGCGGGTCCGATGCAGCGCCACGGCAGGGTCGAGGGGCAGCGCCCCTGAAGCAAAATGCAATTTTGCATTCGAAGTTGCATGTCCGTTCTTGCTCGCTCGAGCGAAGGCTGCGTCTGTGTAAAAACCTGAAAGAGATGATTTTACTCTTGAGCGTAGGTTGTTTGGCTCGAGCGAAGCCACTTATGGAAAACACGCGTTTTTGGTTCCTCGCTCGAGGGAGAGAGTCTTCGCTGGAGCGAGCTTCGCAGTCCTAGATTTCTATAAGTACGAGTTTCTGTCAGATTTTAAGATTACTTCTCCAGATCTTCTTCTTGGGTTCTAGGGTTTATATCTGGAGATATTTTGCTAGTTTTTTTTATGTTTAATTGAGTATTCAACTCATGGGTTAATAAGAATACATCAAAGGTTCGTTTGTTCATTCTATACAAAAGAGAGAGTTGTTCTTCGGTGGATTCTGAAGAATTTGAGCCTGAAGCTTTGGTGGATTCTAGAGTGGCTCATCGTCAAGACAATTCTGAGGTGAAGACGGGGTTGGAAGAGACACATAGAGGTTGGATCAATTCGGGCGTGGATTCACTAGGTAATTGAAAGTATACTTGTGTAATTCCTTTATATCTTTTTAGTGGATTGTTTGTGACTGTTGGTGTGATTTTTTTTTATCACAATTGGAGGTGTCCAATTGTGGTTTTTCCACGTAAAATCGTTGTGTCGATTTGTCTTGATTGTTTGATTGGGATTGTTATATACTGCTTAAAATTGATACATAATCACAAATTAACATTTAGGGGATTTCTAGATTTTTCATATTATCGTGTGACTTTTGTGGAAGAGAAAGGATCAATTTGTACTTATCATGTGAAAGAGGTTGTTCCAGTTGGTGAGCAAATGAAAAAAGTGGAATTGGTTCTGTATTGTAATTCCATTGAATGTGACATCCAATGTATGTGTCGGTGGTTTGAGTTTAGGGGCATTATGTGTGCCCATTCACTTAGTGTGCTCCTTGAGAGGTCCACATATGAGGTTCTAGATAAATACATTGTGCTGAGATGGAGAAAAGATTTGAAAAGAGGGTACGTATGCATTCCTACCACATACACTACATATGAGGTTGTTCTGAATGCAAAGGTGCATGATAACTACTACAAGACAATGGATGAAATTATAGAAATTGCTTCCAACGATGATGCCAAACACAAAGTCATTTAACTTGGGTTGATAGAAATCAAGGATAGAGTGAGACAGGTTGAGGTGGATTGTGCGAGTAATGTGCCACCTTCTACTAGTGGTGTCCCACCTTCTACTAGTATTGTCTAACCTTCTAATACTTCCCCCGAAACTCAGGCTAGTCGCAGTTCTACAAATGCAAACATGACTTGCAAGGTGCTTAGTCCGATGGTTGCTCGCCGAATAGGCCGTCCATGTACCAAACGGAAGGTTAGCAAGTGGATGAAATAGTAAATCGGTTGAAAGGAAAGAATAAAGAGGCATCAAAAGTACAGGTAAATTTTTTATTTTGTTTGATATGTAAATCTTAGAATTTTGTTTACTTCAACCACTCACCAATGTGTGTTCCTATAGGGTCATAATTTGATTTTTGTTTCTATGGATGGGATGCAAGCGAGTCCATGTATTGATAACACATAGGAGAGTATGTATGTACTGGTATGTTTTAAAGATATGACATGAGTTTTTTTGCTTATTTTGATTTGCAAATATGTTTGTCAAAAAATTTGTTCATATTATTTACTTTGTCATTGAATAGACACGAGGTAGCCCAATGCAAATGGTGGATAATATTGGAAGCGGATCTCTTAGTCATTCAGGAATTGTGACCAATACAAGTAGTCAAAGTGGACCAATTGCTTCAAAATTTGTTGAGTTGAATATAGATGTGGATCTAAATGCCCCTTTATATTTCTAGTTTTTTAGTAGTAATTTTAAGACTTTGTTTTGTAAACTTTCGATGCTTTGGTTTGTTTAGGATACAATCAAGTCTCATCATTTGTAATGCAATGGTTTAAAGTGATTTTGGATCCAATCAAGTCTCATCACTTGTTTTGTTAAGTTCTATTACAGGTCTGAGCATAGCTTCCTGTAGGTTATGTTTTTTCGATTCTGTTGATGCTCACAGGTAGTGCTGGTTGCTGCTCTTCTACTCTGCTGAGCATCTGCTACACTGCTATACTTTAATGCTGATCTGCTATGTTGCCCGTTGTTCTGCTGTGCTACTATAGGCTTTGCGGTTGTGTTGCTGTGCTGCTGTGTTGTGCTGTTAAACTGCTGCTGCTGAGTTGCTGCTGTGTTGTTTAGGTTCCCTATTTTTGTTATAGATATAGCTGTTGAATAGGTGTTGGTTGGATGTTTGAACAGATATAGATTCTGGATGTTGAACAGTTTAATTTATTTTTGTTATAGATATGGATGTTGAATAAGTGTTGGTTGGATATTTGAACAGATATAGATTCTGGATGTTGAACAATTTTATCTATTTTTGTTATAGATATGGATGTTGAACAAGTGTTGAACAGATATCTATTGTCTTGAACAGATATAATCTATTTTTGTTAAAGATATGGATGTTGAACATGTGTTGAATAGATGTTTAAACAGATGTTCAACAACAGTTTAATCTATTTTTGTTAGACATCTGTGTTGTTAGCCTTTTAGTTTAGGCACAAGTATTTCTTGATAAATCAATTGCAAAACCCATATGCATTTCTTCATAACTTTTTTTGTTCACATCAAAACTCACAACAAAAACAATAAATCATAGATAGTTGAAGAACCCAGCAACAAAACTCCACTATTGAACACAAAACCAACACAATAACATTTACACCCAAACAAAAACTCCACTGTTGCTTTGCCATAAATGGTTCAAGAACACAAAACCAGCATAATAACATATACACCCAAACCAAGAACTCTCTAAAACTCTCAAAACCAAATGTATAAGTTTACAACATTCATTTTAACACTACACAAATTAACAACATTAGCATGTTAAAACCAATATACACTATGCTTGCCATTGTAAGGAATTTCATAGTTCCTACATCTGCCTCAAGCCGCTCCAATCTTCGCTCCAATTTGTCCAAAGCTTCATAGTTTCTTTCAAAATCATTCCTCCCGTCATCTTCATTGTTCCTATGACTAGGATTAGGCCTCCATTGGATATTTGATGCATTGCCAAGTTGGCTAGTAGGCGCCCACCATGCAAAGTAATCGCACTTGCCATCTGCACACTTGAAGTAAAGCCTCCCTGGATTTTTTAGTGAGTCTGATACCTTAATGGCCATTTTTTTGTCACATTTGCAACCTCGATTTTCAAAAAGACGACCATC